TATATATATATATATATATCCCAGATAAGAAGTTACTAATAGAACACTTAAGAAGCACTGTTAGCACTTGATTCGTAATCGTAAAACTGTAAGAGCCACAGATTACTGTTGCATATGAAAGAAAAAGTGGCTTCGGCCCTCATCCAATATTTTTTTTCAAAAACCAAAAATTTTGCATATACATTTTAATTTTTATCTAAAACTAGTGGGTTTCGTGCCTCTATTTATTTTCTGTTAAAAAAATAAGAATTTTGAGAATAATTGTGTATCAATAATGTAAAAGAAGATGAAAGTCTTACATTATGATGAAAAATAAGAGATGAGAAGAGAGGGGAAAAAACACAATTGAATGAGTAGTGAAAAGTTTTCATTTGCAATAAAAATGTAATTGGGATAATTACTTAAGGAGGTTAAAAGACTAAAACATAGAAATAAAAGTTTAGATAAAATAAATCATTTAATTTTTTATGGAAGTTTTGAAGGACAAAACGATTCCATTAAAAATGGAGATCAAAAGCAATTGAGAAAAAGATATTTCTTTTTATTTATTGTTATAAAATATATATTTTACAATATATTAATTTAACCATTTTACAATTATTAAATTTAATTCTTTACTTGTCTTTACTTGTCTTTAAATGTAAATTTTGTAAATCCAATTTTTAGATTGAAAGTTCATATCTCTTAGATCATATATACAAAATTTTATATTAATCCAATATAATTTGATACTCCATTTTTATAAAACAAAATTGACGTAATATATTCATTTCAAAATACACTAAAATATGAATACTTTGATTACCTTCAAGTTATTGTTTAATTTTAACAAAATTTGATACACACGTATAAAGTGATATAAACTTTCAATCTAACTGTTAGATTTACAAAATTCATAATTAATATATATATATATATATATATATAAGGAAGGTTATAATTACACTTGTATAACTTTAAATAACACTACATCTAATTTAAAAGATAACTTTTTCCGAGTGTAACTTGTATTGATAATTTATTAATAAATATATCCACTTGCATGAGGATATAAAAAGAAATTAATAATTAATATATCTTAAAATAAGTACTTATTTCTCATAATTAAGACCGCAAAAGTGTACTCGTTTATATTTTATATAAAAGACAGGAGGGAGTAGTTTCTAAGAGTAAAATAGGCTCAAAAAAAGAGTACACTAAAAAGGGAGTGTCCAGTAAAATGTGTAAACTCCCTGCCTCCTTTTAAAAAACGTGTACACTAAAAAGGGGTATTCCTTTATTATATGTGTGTGCGTGTTGGGGGAGGGGGGGATTAGCGCGAGGTGCAAAGAAATTATGTGTAACTAAGTAACGAACCAAATATCGGTCTCATAGTTAGCCCTATTGGTCGCATAGTCCAAACTCCAAGGAACTGAAGTTTGTAAGGATACATTGGAAGTCGGGATTTCACCGGAGAGCTAAAGACCCTAATTAAGATAGTTAACAGAAGAAAAAAAATTATGAGTAAAATTTTAATTTTTCAAAATTCGAATACATGAAAAACGAAACTTACGGGTAAAATATGAGACATGTCAAGTATAAAGACGTTTTTTATGAGAGGATGGGTAGATATTGACCATTGTAAGTAACATTTGTCGCCTTTGTATGAACACCCTTTTGTATATACTTTATGCACAAAAAAGTACGAATAAGAATCCCATCCTTATAAAAAGAACGAGCTCAATGTGACCTTGTATTCAATCCATCCTCCTCTGTAGATTTCTTCAGAGTTAGCCCTGGCTTAATTTGGCCTCCCTGAATGATTAAAAATCAAGACCAGAAATTATATTTTGCAAAAAAGTACTGAGCGTCTGTGCATGAGTTACATATGGCTTTCAAGCAACTAAAGTTATAACATTCTCAAACTACAATTTTCTCGCTTTAAAAATTTGAAATTTGACATATACCGAATTGGATCCTTAGCTATTGATTAAAAGTTAGTTAAAGAATCTTGCAGGTTGTTAGGAGTTTGTTAATGGCAGTTATCAAAAACTGTTTTCTCATTCTCCTATTATAAATACTAATTGTACTCATTATTTCAGATACTAATGAATGAGAATTATCCTTTCAATTTCCTCTCTGGTTTTACTTGGTTCTTTGTTACACAATTCTGATAATATACATAACTCGTCTCATACCTCTTGGGCTAAAAAAACTAACTCTAAATTATTAGAATTGCAAAGGGTAAGAGGGGGAATCTGCAAGACTGCAACTTAACGCTACTCACGTAGGCACCAATGATAAAAGGAACACTCTTAATAGAGGAAGAGCTATTTAGTGTGTGTTTGTTTTAACGTCAGCACACTTTTCAAAGTCCGTTTAACTTAATTCATGAATCTTGTAACTTTAGACTCAAATTACATTCAAAGCTTCTCAACTATAAAACAAACATGCTCTTAATCTCTTTAGTGTCAAATCAATCACTTTTGCAGGTCATCTGATGGCCTAATTGGTGTGTTGCTTTTACTTTTTCGGCACAAACATCTTGCGTCAATAACATTACACTTTGGAACAACTTCACCTTAATAGAAAATGTGCCATATGACAAATCTGTATACTGCATGAATGCTTGCTTGGTAACAAGCCAGGACCAGTTTCTTACTATTCAGTATTCACATATCAGAGAGTACAAAAATAGCTGTTCATTGTTTTAATTTTCTAGTATATATGTATGCGTGTCAGTGTGTGTACTGGTACTCTTTTTTCATGGGGCAGGAAGCACTCATACGCTGAGCAAGTCTAAAATATATAAAGTCTCCTATCAATCTTGCTATTGGTAAAGAAAGAGAAACCAATACTAGGAGTTATATCGATTAGTTTTTATCTATTCAAATAGAAAAACCCTAAATAATTAAGTAATGCAGAAGAATCACCTGTTAACTCACCATTTAAACTACTAAGCAGGTATCTCAATATTGAAAATATTCAACAACCACAAAAGTTCAATTGCCCCATTATTTAGATAATCTATTGACTATAAACAGTTAAAAAAGACAGTAAGTCATCCCAAAACAAATGCATGAATCATTAATAACCCTCCATTTCAACCAATGAGAAGATGATACAATTAGTGGCTACTGATTTCTTAAAATCCAAATTTATGTGCATAATACTATAACATTTCTGCAAATGAAATTACCAAGGTACGAGATATGACAATCAATATAAAAAGCATGTTTCACTGTTTAATTTTGAATTCAATTTCCTGAGGAACATATCATATCATGTGTATATAACTAGCATTTTTTCACGTCCATGAAGGTCATGCTTGAATAAATTTTAGAAAATGAGTAAAATTTAAGAAAAAAAATATAACGGAGAAAAGTAACGCATTTCCGGAATACAAATATGGAATTATCATAAATGAACTCGAAAACCAATAATTTCATCATTGAACCCATCAGTGTGAAATTCATTTTAATTCTTCTATCCTAATTTAAGATTGAAGCATTTAACGGAAGAAAGTACAAAATATAAATCATTTCAGTCTACCTAGCAATACCTACCAATCATATAGTTGAATGAGAAGTAGACCATGTAAAGATGCAAACCCAAACTATACCAAGCCAACCTTAGTGAGCTGGGGTCAACCCACATATTTTTAAAATTAATATTAAATAACATTTGATGTCAAAATAAAGAACATATTCAACTTTTATTTTTTTATGAATTGGGTTATTTTTTAATGAAGTTTTCTATTTTTCTGCTATTGTTATATATTTTTTGGGGTTTTCTGCTTTTTTCAATTTTTTCTGATTTTATTCATTGAGCCAACCCACCGAGTTATAGTGTGTATCAGTTGAACTCAAGTTTAACATGAATTCATCAAAAGCTTCCTTTCCTGATAATTTTTTGGAATGTATGCAATGTATGTGAAATGGGCAAACAAACACAAATAGTGGGTTGAGTTGGGTTCGCAATTTATTCGCTTGCTGCAAAGGTGTGCCGGGTTTAGTTGGTTCGCCTTTGAGCTCAACCTGTGGTGATAGGTTGGCTCCTTTATATAGCTCTCATCCAAACCCCTGTATAACCACCCTCCTCCCGTTCCCTTTAAAAGAACATTTTTCTCAATTCATGCATAATGCAAAAGATTGACATCTATGAAACATGAAAGAGACGGTGAAATCATTTTTTGAATAATTGATCACTTACTGCTCCCTTTTGGCCAGTCAACCTTCGTATTGATGGAGCCCGTGCCACAGAGGAAGCAGCTGCAGCTGCAGCCACACGTATTCTGCAACATAAAATATAAATCAGCATTCAAATTATGATTTATAGCAGTTTCATGCAACTCAGCAGATTCAGTTTTGAAAGTTTATATTCATCATGACCTCTTATGAACATCAACGTACTCATCGGTCTCATCCACAATCTCCTCCTGCATCATTGGAAACAAATACAATTAGTATCGAGGGAATAAAGATGTACTAGTGTACTGAGGGTGGGGGAATATATAAAATTACTGCCATTTACTTGCAGAAGTTCTTCAAATACATCTTCTAAAGTGATAATACCAATCACTTCACCATCTTCAATATTATCTGAAAAGGAACTATTTGTTGTGGCATCACTACGTGACTTGTTAATGCTGGGAGGCCTTGAAAACTTGTCAATGTCAACAACAACACTTTCTGACTTCTCATCCTGCTTCAGTAGTAATGGAGTAGTCAACTGTGAATCCCCACCAACCCCTTTGTTTTCTTCACATGTCTCTCCATCAGTTGTTTGAGGAGTCGTTTTTCCTTTCCCCATAGCCCTAACAACAGCAGCCATATGACTACTTCCCTTTTGGAACTCATTCAGTATATCATAAAGAGGCATATCTGATGGAACTCTGAAAATACAATATAAAACATTTCACAAATTACTGATATTTGACATTAAATTTTTAAAGAAAATAACAAGAGTAAAAATTAATAGAATCAATTTCAATTGTTAAGGACATGAAAACCATTCATGCGCTTTTACCTAATCCCATATGCTTTTAGGAGACTTCGGGGACATTTGTTTCACCAAATGATATTATATTCCCAGGAATAATATAATCAGAAATGTTATTTCTAAGAGTAGTTCAAAATACATTTGTTTAGAATGGAAGTTATAGTTGAGATAGACAATAACTCCCCACATTCTCATAGGAATATAACTTTCTCAACCCCCACCATGGGAATCAAAATGGCTTGAAATATGGGATAACTACTTTCCCAAAAATGAACAATACCCAGGAATATATTTTTTAAACTTGTAACAAACATGGAAATTCAACATTCCCAAGCTCACATGCTCGGTATGAGAGAAAGGATTGAGAGAATTTCAGTAGATTGAATAATTGGTGAAAAACAAGATAGTGAGATCCGTGAGATATCACTTACATATATACCTAACAAATCTAACCAACTTGATGAGTTGGCAGTACTTAACAGAAAACAGAAAAATATACTATGAATACAATAAAATAATAAAAGTATTTATTATCCTAATCTCTTCTCTAATACACCCCCCACAAGCTCAAGGGGGATGAAACATAGCAGATGGATCAGCAACATTGAGCTTGGAACGCAGAAACAGAAATCTCTTGGGCAACAGGGTCTTGGTTAAAACATCTGCATATTGATGCTGAGCGGGAACATGTGAGACAATAAGAGCTTAATGATGACTTTTTCACGAACAAAAAAGATGTCGAGTTCCATATGCTTAGATCTTGAGTGTATAACAGGATTGTGAGACAGTGCTACTGTGCTTTGATTATCACAGAGCACTATAGGAGTGTTTAGGTGAACTTTCAGTTCCTTTAGAAGGGATTGGATCCACAAGACCTCAGTTACAGCTTGAGCTAAAGCTCGATATTCAGCTTCAGTGCTTGACCGTGCAACAAGCAATTGTTTCTTGGACCACCAAGACACCAGGTTAGGACCAAGGTAAATGCAGGCTGCCGAAGTAGACCTTCTATCATTGGGATCAGCTGCCCAATCAGCATCAGTAAAGATTGTAAGATTGAAGGAAGAAGTGGAGCGAGCAGGGGTAAATACCAGACCATGTTTAAGAGTGCCTTTGAGATACCTAAGTATCCTTTTAACCACTTTCCAATGTTCCTCCATTGGAGAGCACGTGAACTGACTCACCTTATTAACACTGAAAGCAATCTCAGGTCGTGTAATTGTGGCATATTGCAATGCACCAACTACAGACCTATACAAGGTAGGATCATCAAACAAGGTTCCCGTTTTAGCAAGTTGCTGACCACCAATCATAGGAATGGAGATTCCCTTAGAGTCTTCCATTTTTACCTTGGTAAGAAGATCAGAAATTTATTTGTGTTGAGATAACAGTAACCTCCCATCAGAAAGTGACTTGACTTCAATACCCAAGAAGTAGTCCAAGGTACCAAGATCTTTGAGAGAAAAATTTTCATCGAGTTGATCAATTAATTTTTGCAATAAGGAGGAAGAATTGCCAGTGAGAATAATGTCGTCTACGTAAACAAGCATGCAGACAGTAGCAGACGAAGTAGAAAAAATAAACAAGCTAGGATCACACTTGCTTTTGTGAAACCCAATGCAGGACAGATGTTAATCTGTCAAACCAGGCACGAGGGGCCTGTTTGAGACCATACAGAGATTTGTGTAGTTTGCAGACAAGGTGTCTATTGTTGGGTTCAATGAAACCAGGAGGCTGAGACATATAAATGTCTTCCTCAAGCATTCCATTAAGGAATGCATTATTAATGTCAAGTTGTCGAAGGGGCCAATGAAAAGTCACGGCAAGAGAGAGAACAATTTTGATGGTGACAGGTTTAACAACAGGAGAAAAAGTTTCAGAAAAATCAAGGCCAGGTTGCTGATGAAAGCCTTTGACAACAAGTCTGGCCTTGTACTTGTTAATTGAGCCATCAGGATTTTCTTTAATACGGAAAACCCATCTGCAGCCAATGGGTTTTCTGCCAGAAGGTAATTCAACCAATGTCCAGGTACAGTTGTCATGTAAGGCAGTGATTTCAGCTTGCATGGCAGCAAGCCAATTAGGATCAGTAAGATCAGTTTTGACAGTTTTTGGTTCAGTAGTAGACAACAAAAGTGTGGGGTTAATTCTGGGTTGAATAATCCCATTTTTTGAGCGAGTGGTCATGGGATGAACATTAGGAGGTATGTTTGGAGGTGAATTTGAAGAAGATGAAGCAGTAGCGGAAGTAGTAGAGATGTTGGCAGGCGTAGTAGAGGGAAGGGAATTGGATTCTGAGGAGTCAGAACTAGCAGAAATAGTAGGTGGTATTATGGTAGAGGAAGATGGGTTGTGTGAACAAACAAGAGAGGGAAGTGTAGAAACAGATGTGGCAGGGAGAGAGGCTTGGGGTTTTGTAATGAAAAGGTCATTATAGGGAAATCTGCCTTCATTGAATATCACATCTTTGCTGATATAGATTCGGCCAGACCTGCTTAGACATTTGTACCCCTATGACTAGGAGAGTATCCCAAGAATAGACACTCCTCTGATCGAGGTTGAATCTTATGCTGATTGTAAGGTCTAAGTAATGGAAAACAAGAGCAACCAAAGACTTTGAGAAATGTATAATCTGGATCCCTGTTATGAATCAGTTTATAGGGTGATTGAAAACCAACAGAAGAGGAGGGTAGTCTGTTGATTAAGTAGGTAGCAGTTAAAAAGGCATGATCCCAAAATTTTAGTGGTAAGGCCGAATGGTGAAGCATTGCCAATCCAAGTTCAATTACATGTCTGTGTCTCCGTTCAACAGTGTCGTTTTGATGATGAGCATAGGGACAAGTAAGCCTGTGAATAATGCCTTGTTGTAGAAACGGAATTAACGTGCGAAATTCACCACCACCATCTGTTTGAACAGATTTGAGAGGCTGTTTCTCGGCCAGAGCTTTAAAATTTTGAAAATTGGAATACACATCTGATTTTCTACGAAGGAGGTAAATCCACATGTATTTGGTGCAAGCGTCAACACACGTTAAGAAATACAAATAACCACAACTAGATTCTAATGATGCAGGTCCCCAAACATCTAGAAAAACGAGTTCAAGTGGTTTGGAATAAACAGTGGTGGAAGATTTAGAAGGAAGTCTATGAGACTTGGCAATGCAACATGATTCACAAAAATCAGAAATTTTATTAATAGTGGGAAGATGAATATTACAAGTTTGTAAGGCTTTAGTTAGGGAATCATGATAAGGATGCCCTAACCGTAAGTGCCACTGTTTATAGGTACTGGAAACAATGTGATTACATTTTTCAGAAAGAAAAATACAAGGATCAGATTTAAGAAAAGCTGAATTCTTCTCAATATCAATATTGACAGATTCCTTCTTCACAAGATAAGGGTGAAAATGATAGAGACCATCTTCACCAAGTTTCCCTTCAAGAAGAGTCTCGTTCAAATCCTGTGATTTGACAAAACAGGGATGAGGATAGAAAACAAAGTAGACATTGTTGTCTTTAGCAAATTTTGAAACACTTATTAGGTTTTTGGTTAAAGAGGGAACAAGTAATAGGTCTTTGAGAGACAAAATTGTGGAAGGATGCATAGGGGACCGAAACATATTAGAACCTATTGAGGTAATGGATGTACCTTGGCCATTGGCCATAGCAATGTGCTCTGCGCCAATGAATTGAGCACTCTGCAAGAGATATTGAGGGTCAGGGGTTGCATGGTGAGAGGCACCAGAATCTGGAATCCATGCTGTAGCAGTGTTTGGAGTTGGAGCAGCATTTTGAGCAGGGGATGCAGCACGCGAATGACTTGACTGGGTGGATGTCGTTGCGGGAAAGGTGAATCCAGGAGGTGGGAAACCAGAACCAGAAAATGAGCCACCAAAGGGATAAGGAGGCCACTGAACTGGACCTGAATGTCCAAGCATATTGACAGATCCATAGTAGGGAACAACACCAGGGCCAGGATTCTGAGGCACATACACATGTTGAGAACTGGAACCATAGGTGGGGTAAGGGGCAAACAGTGAATGGAAGGGCAATCTAAAACCACCCAAGGATAAGCTTGTAGAGAGTTGATAACACGTGGAGGCTTCATGTCCACGTTTGTGACAGATTTGGCATTGAACAGCAGAACCACGATTTCGTCCACCACGAGAACCACGGCCACGTCCTCCATCACGATTATTGAAACCACCTTGAGATTGAGACGAGAAATTCTGAAATGTATTGGGCTGAGAGTTTGACATCTGAGACTGCTGGAAAGCCAAATTGGCATTTGGAACACCATTTGGGACAGAAGTGGTTTGCGCAAGATTGATGGACAAGGGTTCTTGAATAACAGCAGCCTTTGCTTGTTCAAGTCTTGCTTCCTGAGCAAGAATCATGTTCTCAAGTTCAGCCGGGGAGATGATATCATCACGACTAACAAAAGCGGTGACAGTAGAAATTAGAGAGTCATACTCTGGTGGGAGACCACCAAGAATGCACTCAGCATGTTCGCGGGGCGAAACGGGACTACCAATCGAAGCAAGAGTCTCAACGATGGTGCTGATGCGGAGGAGATAATCAGAACACGATTTTGTTCCTTTCTTGATGGTGCGAAGCTCCAGACGTAATTGTGTCGCTTTGATTTTGGTGAGTGACTGAAAATGTTGAAACACCAGATCCCAAATCTGGTACGAGTGACGACAGGAAACAACACGGGCCTGAATTGATTCAGAAAGTGTTGCGAGAAGCCAGGAAAACAACAGCGAATCCTTGCGATCCCAGGCAGTGTATTCGTGATTGATAGCATTGGCGTCACAATCCTCAGTCGTGAGAAATTTCAGCGAAATCTTAGGGTTGACGACGAACCGTTCAAGGTCATGTGCGCGAATCACAGCAGTAACCTGTTGCTGCCAGGTCATAAAGTTCTTTTCATCCAGTTTGCATGTGACAGATTGGGAGAACGTATGCGAAACAGAATTGTTCGGGTTTGCGGAAGCGGAGGCCATTGGAGCAAAGTTGTGCAGGACCAGCACTACGAAGTAGAAGACAAGAATCAAGAAGAGACGCAAGGCGCGAGGAACGCAGAAAATCGCGCGAGCAAAAAATAGAGCGCGCGAAGAGAGCGCGAAGAACAGAATCGCGCAAAAAAGGGGCGCGAGAAGCAAGCCACACGAAGAGGGCGCAAGCAGAAGAAACAGAAGCCCAGATCTCACCGTGCTCACGATGATACCATATGAGAGAAAGGATTGAGAGAATTTCAGTAGATTGAATAATTGGTGAAAAACAAGATAGTGATATCCGTGAGATATCACTTACATATATACCTAACAAATCTAACCAACTTGATGAGTCGGCAGTAATTAACAGAAAACAGAAAAATATACTATCAATACAATAAAATAATAAAAGTATTTATTATCCTAGTCTCTTCTCTACTCAGGAATGGTGTTATAATACATGGAAAAAAAATCCCCTTAGTTCCTGGCAAAGTAGAGCTATATGACTAAATGGTTAGGAATTTGATCCTTAAAACCCCAAATAATTCTTAATTAAACTCAGCATCAGCTAAATTGAATAGTGCGTTCTCCCTTCTCCAAGGCAAAAGGATTTTTGCATAAGGGAGTGTCAAAGATATAAAATCACAATTGTGACACTATTTAACAATTTGTGCTTTTAGGAGAGCCACTACATGACAACAAACATACCGTGGGATTCTCCGGATGGAAACAGCACTGACAGGTGTCTCTGTTTCAGGTCGTACAGTGAGAAGACTTTTGACCTAATTTAAATAGAATATAAGTGAAGAAAAGAAAATTCAGAAAGTAATAAAATAGGATAGACTAAAGTAAAGTTAAAACGGGGAGGATTTAACACCCACCAGTAGAAGCCCAATAACATTTTTTGGATTTCCAGAATAGACAGGAACTCGGCTGTGACCACGAGCAAGAACTTTCCCCATTGCCTCCCTAATTTGAGATTCACAACTTAACATAGGTTTAAGGGATACAAATTGCAAGAGTGAATCCTAATGTATCTTCTAACCAATAATTCTACTCTCAATTATTCAATATGCAACCGAAGTTAGGTCCTACTTATTTAGAGGGAGATAACACCTTGAGAAATATCAGTCACATGCTCCAGTAAATGGTGCAGTGGAAAATATATCTTGAGCAGCCAAAAAGTCTTTATAAAGTAAGCAAAGTTCCTCATCAAACCAAAGATCCATTTTCCAAACAAATTTCAATCAACTATTTACAACCTACTTAACAATAATTCTATGTATCTTCTAACCAATAATTCTACTCTCAATTATTCAATATGCAACCGAAGTTAGGTCCTACTTATTTAGAGGGAGATAACACCTTGAGAAATATCAGTCACATGCTCCAGTAAATGGTGCAGTGGAAAATATATCTTGAGCAGCCAAAAAGTCTTTATAAAGTAAGCAAAGTTCCTCATCAAACCAAAGATATTTCACGTTTTATGCTTTGTTTTACTCAATCTATCTTAGAAGTTAGAAAGGACAGATATATCTGTTCCTACAATGGGTTTGTATGGGAGTGTATGTGTTTAGCGTATTAAAACATTATGAGGCAGCAAGTACTCAACATGATAAGAATGAATTACATGGCGGGAAGTATACTTCAAAAATTAAGCATTTAGCTCTAGACAAACGTTTATCTCATTAAAAAAAAAAAAAAAAAAAAACCCAAGAATAATTGTAATAATAATCAAGATAAACATTTACCACAGTATTAATGTAAGAACTAGGTAAACCAAAAATTAAAGAACAATATAACACAAGTTCAACCCAAATAAATAAATTTAATGAGATAGACTAAGATGTATCGAAATACTGACCAGTCCAATTTGGAATTAACATCCAAAGAAAAAGTTGATTCAATAGGAGTCATGGCCTCTTCAGCAGTCTGGCCAAAGAAAAATCAATGTGGGGAGAAAGGAAAATTGTATACAAGTATACCACAAAAATGAATGCATAAAATATACCTTGCACAAGTTAAAATAATACAGCATCATACTTAATACTGAGGTAAAATATGAAGAAAAAAAAAAAAAAAACTCAAGTACAAAGGACAACATATTATTTGGAGAATACAAGTTCATGGGAAATGGATGGGAAATTTTCAAACAAGAACAAGTGAGACTTTGATTAGTTTGATAGGCATTTAATAATTTAAAAAAAAAAAAAAGAGAGAGACAAACTTTAAGCATTTGATATACCCCTGTTCCCAATTCCATGTCGAAAACCCTTGGTATTTCCTAGTATCCCAAAAAACATAAGATACTAACTAATCAAAATTACCAGATTCATGAAGCAATCCTCACATTTTTCCACATCCCGTCATCGTCAATTGTATTGAAATTATAAATTATAATTTATAAATAGGTGATAAACTTAACTCTGATGCATTGGATCTCATAAATTATAAATTATAATGCACTACTGTCATATAATGAAATATTGATAAACATTGACATTCAAAATATATCATGGGTTAAATGTGAATTTACCTTTTCAGTCAAATCTAGAGCTCCGCTAATAATTGTTGTCTCATCATGTGTCAGCTCACCACCTTTCCCAGCCTGAAAACATTAAAAAAAAAAAAAAAAAAAAAAAAAAAAAAAACAACAACAACAACAACAACAACAACAACAACATTTGTAAATCAACACTGATGACTACAATGGTAATAATTGGATAAATTTACCAATTTTGACACAATGATTCCTCAATTAATCACAGTCACAATAATAATACATATTATTTTCATACCTCCTGGCCATGAATGGAGACAAGAGCTTTTAACTGAGCCCGCCTAAATAAAGCCTCATTATGCCCCAATAGACAGTCTAGAACCTGGAACAAATATCAGTGAGCAAAAGAAAACTTGTGGCATAATCTTTCTATAAGTTAGTCTGATATAAACATTTTAAAGGGCTATTTGAGTCAAAAAAAGGCAAGAGACAAATGACCTAGTTTTCATCCAAAAGGCATGCCTATAGGTTATAGCATTATTACTCATTTGCTAACACAGTAAAGCATTCTTAATTTCTTATCCACCAAGCAAGACTAAAAAAGCCTTAATTTGTTTTTATCTATACACATATTTGCATATCAAAGTTTCACGGAAACATCATCTGATGATATGCTATTAATTTCCACTTTTTGGTTATCCAATAGAAAACAAAGAAACATAACTTCTACAGGTTAATGCATAATCAGTTTCAGCAACAGTTCATATACTAGAAAGACTGGCAATTTATCCTGCGTGATAAATTACCTTTCCGACGGGATAAGCAACTGGATAACAGATTATCATCAAAATTCGTACAAGCCATACGAAGTTAGCACCTACAGCTAGACCATATCTACTACAAATTGCTTGTGGAATAACCTGAAACCAGAGCAGCAAAAAGGAGTTGATATTCCATAACATTCATTGCGTACAAACAGTGATGCTAAACCACAGAACCATGAAAGATGGCACAATCACATACCTCCCCGAAAAACAGAACGAAAGTCACAGAGAGAATGATAGCAACAAACTGATTGAACATCTTGTCCAGGTATATCGGAAGGGCCTGCAATTGCAAGTTTCAAAGCCAAAAGTTGCTTAAAAGTCAGGCATGATTGAGAAGTTACATAAAGAGCATACATAATCAATACATACAGATACAGTCACTCAGCAAACCAAAAAGCATATGCATCTATTAGAGCCAATCCAATATCATCCCGACAATTTTCGACAAGTTATTCCAATCAGCCTAATCCATTATTTGATATATAAGCATTGTTTCAATTTAAGCACATAGAAGAAGCTAGTTTCACAGAAGTCATCATTCCAAAGTGATTTCTCCTAAAAACATAGCATGAAGCATACAAAGAGTTACAATAACCTCTCCTCCAACAAATAAGGCGTGTTACTCTAACTTGGCAATAGAGATTAAAACCAAAAAAGAGCATTACAATAATCCAAAATTATCCGATTAATTACCTCCATGGCAGCAGCATTACACAGAAGCAGAGTCACGAGAAGCTGGTGTTGTTTTTTAACTACAGGAAGTATGACCGCTGCATGCACGCACGCAGACACAAAATGTTACACACAACTCCATAGTTAACCAAAAAAAGCACGTTGACGATTGCGAATTCGAAATTCCGTAATCCAATGAGATTATGCGAAAATACGATCGCTGAAAAACAGAGAAACGGAATAATAAGAGGAAATGGAGTAGAAGAGGAGAAACCTGCTTGCTTTTTCTCGGAGGGAGAACCGCTGCGTTGAAGAATCTCGAGGTCGACGAGGCCGAGAGACATGAGGCCTAGGGTTAGGCCGGACATGATTCCGGCGAAGATGACGAGGAAGCAGGAGATCCCGGCATAGACGAACCACCACACGGATCCCAAGGGTATGCCTTCGTGTGCAGCGAGTTGGTCCCGAGTCAGTAACCGAGTCACCATCAACGCACTCACCACATTCATCATCGTCTTCGTCTTCTTCTGTTTGTTTTGTTCGTTCGTCCTATCGTTTGGGCTCTCTTACGCTGCGTGGAACTCGTGTACCTCCCTCGCAACCAACAGCTTGGACACGTGGCGGAATCAAGGACCTTTTCGTTTGGATGCGTGGACAACGACGGCACTGTCATTCCATCTCATTCTCGATCAATCCCAGCCGTCCAATTCCGCAACCTTTATGTGAATATTTCAAAAAAAGTAAAAGATAAACAAAACATGGCACCGAATAATACTATCGTTTTATTTTATTTCCTTAAATAGGTTGTAATAATACGTAAAATGAGTAAATTTTTATTTTTAAATTCTGTAAAAAAATATTTATTTTTTATTTTTAAAATTTATAAATATTATTTTTAGTCTTTATAAAGTAAGTAAAATTTAATTTTTATAGAATATTTTTCTTTAAATTTTATCTCTCTAAAATTTAAAGTTATTATTTTTTTCTTAATGACTATTTTAAGGTATATATAAAATATTTATTTTAAAGATTTATTAAAAAGAAACTTCACTTACATGTAGATAAAATATCATAGATAATAGTGAATATCACTTAAAATAGTCACATGACATTTTAATAAATACATATAGTTAAAAATGCCATATAATAAAAGAGACAAAAAATTCCATCTCAAATTTTAAAAGAACAATAAACAAAGAAGAAGAAAAATACATGAACTAAAATATATTTAAGCATTTATTTTTATCATTAAAACAACAACATAACTTGAACTTAAGACTTTATATAAGTTATTTTAACATTTTTATTACTAGATCAACAAATGAGAGCAGTGATTTAAAACCCGGATCAAACCGGCTAGTTGGACTGGGAACTGATGGTCCAACCGGTCCGAATCTTAAGTTGGATCGGTTATGCAGTCGACCCGTTTCAAACTGGATTAAACCAGTTAATTTTCTGGTTCAACTGGTAAACTAGTAGGTCAAACTGGTTCAACTACTTTTTTTCTTATTTTTTTATAAAAAATTAAGAGACCATAAACCACAAAAATAATAATGAAAATTGAATTTCTTAATGGAAGAGCAAAGAGTCTTATTAAATATAATAATGACTACTTGTTCTAATATATTTGTTTGTAATATATACAACTTAAATAACTTTTATAGTATATTATTAATTTTAAATTATATATTTAATAATATAATATCTATGTAGATATTACATATATTATTTTGTGATATCAATTGCAAGCATATTATATATGTACATATTATTTATATTTTTAATTTGTATTAATCTACAATTTAACATGCAATTTTTTATGTATTTTTTACAAAATAAAAATAAAAATAAATTCAAATAACATAGAAAAAATAAATTTTAAAATAAGATATGAATTTATTAAAATTTATAAGTATAAAATATATTTAATATGAATATTTTTTTAATAAAAATTGAGTCATGCGGTTCAACTAGTGACCCACCGGTTCAACCTTTAATCCACTGACCCAATACCTTAACTGGTTCGATGACCGGTCCGATTTTTAAAACTATGAATGAGAGGATAAACGAGTCAAGTTATATATTAACTATTTAGATTTTACTTGTCAATTATTCATCAAAGTTTATTTATTTAATCAAATAAATAAACATAAGTTTTAAATTAGATTTTGTTCTGGTATGCCTAAAAGTCTCACATCGCTTAGGAGTCGAGGTTAAGGGTAGTTTATAAACATCATTCCTCCTTAACCCACCGAGGCGCCTTTTAAATGACAAAACCGTGACGGCCCAACGAGTCAAAGCGGACAATACCTCGAATGCGATAACCCTAACGATGACAATAGACTTACGGTAGGAACAGATTTATTATTTAAATTAACTAAGGCCAAGTCTTAAAAACTTGATATCAAGAATTCATAACTCATTTATAGATATGTGATATTTCTTTCATGAAACATCTTATCAAACAGATTTATTATTTAAATTAACTAAGGCCAAGTCTTAAAAACTTGATATCTAGAATTCATAACTCATTTATAGATATGTGATATTTCTTTCATGAAACATCTTATCTTATAAGTAAGCGAAAACAAATTTCTCATAAATTTTTCATACAATAATTTTTTTATATTATTTGTATGTAATAATTCCTCTTCATAAATCATAATATTGTTTTCTTAAGAGATTTCCTACAAGAAAAGTATTAATTATAGCAAATTTTATCTTATTAATTATAGCAAATCTTATCTTATTTATGATAAAACAAACAACTTTACCATAATTTTTTCATGCAATAGTTTTATTTTATTCTTATATTATTTACATGTAATAAAACTTCTTCATAAATCATAAAAAATTTTGTTAAAGGGGGCATTTGACAGGATATAAGGTTGAATTCTACTGTACTGCTGACTTAGCTCGTCCTATCTCATCCCTTTCTGTGGTGACCGGAGGAGCAAAGAGAACAACAACAATCAGAGCGTTCCCCAAAACCTGGTCTTGACTTGTAATGCACCCCGCATTTCCTTTTCTCTTGTTAGAGAGGGCAAACACACACCTGTCTAACTTTTCACTGTACTGGCATTTCGCTCTCATCGATGGAACTACTTCAACGAAAAGATTTAGTTGACTAAATGACTGGTCTAGGGTGAGAATAGCATGTGTTCTCTTCAAACTAGGTTTTCATGGGCGGGCTATTGAGAAGAATGAGGTTCTCATATCATAATCCCTATTCAAACGAGGGGAGAAGGAACTGTTAACGAACAGTAGGTGTTCTCTTCAAAGCAAGCAAGACGGTTAAAGCGATTCTTTTGAAAAGAGTCTTCGTTGAGGTGAGCTCATGTCTAATAGTAGACAGGCAGGTACATGCTTCGATATAAGGGGGTAAGCTCAGCAAGTAAAGGATATAAGGAAAGAAGCTCATAAAGTCATGACATGCAACCGAGCAAATAGAACCTTCCCTCTCTGCAAGCAAAGAAAGAAGAAGGTGAGCGATCTTAATTTTAGTTTTTCATATTTAGTAGTTATTTAAAAAAAGTCCTAAGAATATAATTTTTTGAGAACAACTTATCTATCTTTCCCATAAAAATATTTTCATGACGGGTAGGAATTTAACTTTCCTTTTTTCTGAGTTACAAGGGAAGTTTTATGTATATAAAAAGATCATAATATCTTTTTTAAAAACATAAAATATCTTTGTCTTTTTCTCCCTTTCTTTCTCTCTCTCCTCTAGTCCTCTCTCTCACCGTCTCCCCCTCTCTCTCTCCAATTTCTCTATCTCTCTCACTCCCCCTCTTTTCCTATGTTTCTCTCCCTTTTCCTTCTTTCTCGTTTTATTTCTCTTTATCCCTCTCTTTCTCTGTCACTCTCACTGTCACTCCCCCTTTGTCCATCTCTCCCTCCCACATCCCTATTTTTTTCTCTTTATTGTATCTCATTTATTTCTTGACCTTGTTAATTTTAATAATATTATTAAAGTATTTTTTTTTTGTAATTTAATGATATTTGTTAACATTTATTTATTTATTTATTTTTATTTGAATGAAATGAAATAATAAATTTTTATCCTTCTTATTTATTATGTAGCATTTTTTATTATTTATTTCTTTTGTTGAATTCTATATTTAAATAATTTTAACTATAAGTTTTCAACTTTTTAAAATAATTTAATGTCATATTTGTAATAAGATTTTAGTATATAAATATATTTAATGAGATTATTTTAATAAAGAATACTTTTGTAAAAAAATATTATAAACCTGAAAATATATAACTATAACCAAATATGAAAATCTTTAATTTTTTGAGAATCTTGTATGAATATTGCAATATGCCTTTATGAATAACCAAACAAATTTTAGTTATTTCTAAAAATCATGATTCTTGGAATTTTTAATTCCCAATAATCATGATTTATGGGTATGAAAAACCTCTTTCTTTACTAAATGTCCCTAAGAGATTTCCTTCCTAGGGTTTCCCAAAAAAAATTATAAGAAATTGAAACTGCAACAACATAATAAAATAAAACATTAATTATATTAATTATGGGATTTTTAAATTATAGAAATAAATAAACAAAAATAAAAGGTACCATCTTCTAAGAGTTAACCCCTCAATCTCTTATTTGCTCTTGTATGTTGTAAGAAAGGAATCTCAATTTTGTCTTGTAATTTTATGAATTCGTGTTTTGTACTTTTCTTATGTGTGATACATGTGATGTTTGAATTATATTTATAATTAATTTCATGTAATTTGAATTGTTTGAGAATTTGTGAGTGTTTGTAATTCCTTTAGAAAACCTTTGATTTATAGGGCAAAGTGAAGACTAATGTTAATTGAATGAATACGTGAAATTGAGGTTGAATTTGAGTGATTGATGGCATAATAGGGTAGTATTGAACTCTAATCGTGATTTTTACTGATTAATTTGGAATTTTGAGGTTTTAGGTTCATATTATGCAATTTCTGCATAGTCAATCGATTCCTCATGAACTAGTATTATATTGGGATTCAAGTGGGTTGTGTCAAGCACAATTTGACGTTGCTCCTACAAGGTTTCATGTCGGGCGTGACATCAGTCATGTTGGGTGCATATGCGATAGAAAGGTTATGTCCTCTTTGCATCAGACATGAAAAACGTTGCATCGAAGATGATAATGTCAAAATTAGATTTTGTGATCTTCATATGAATTGTAGCCTCAAATGTTAGCTTTCCAATGTCGTTGAAATCACTCAAAAAGATGTATAGAACTCAAGTTATGATAAAATTAGTAAACAAAAGTCAAACTGTCAAATTTAGGTTAAAATAATATAATTTTGTAAATTTTAAAAATAGTTGATGAAAAAATTAACTCTTGAGGTCAACATAGAAATTATAGATAATTATTTTATATTTTTAACAAAATTAAGATAACTTGATAACATGTATATACCACTAGCTAGATATCGTGTTTAAACCATACCACATTATAGGAGATTGAGTTATGAAAATGTAGTTTGAGAATGATGATGATAAATGACTTTACCTTAGACCCTATATCAATATTTAGGAAAGAGAAATAATAAGAGAGAACAATTGCGAATAAGTGATGACATGAGTTGATTATTAATGACTTG